ATTCTCGTACCTCAGCCTCCCGAGTAGCTGGGACTACAGATAGGCACCACTACACCCAGATTATTTTTGTATTTTTAGTAGAGACAGGGTTTTACCATGTTGACCAGTCTGTTCTCCAACTTCTGACCTCAAGTGATCCACCTGCCTCAGCCTCCAAAAGTGCTGGGATTACAGGTATGAGCCACACGCCTGGGTTCTGCTTGGTTTCTGACACTTTTCCTGAAGATGCTCATTGCTGCCACTCTAAAAACCCAGAAAAAAATGAATAGTGATGGCCGGGCTCACACCTATAATGCAACACTTTGGGAAGCAGATCACTTGAGGTCAGGAGTTGGAGACCAGCCTGGCCAACATGGTGAAACCGCATCTCTACTAAAAATTACAAAAATTGGCTGGGCGCGGTAGCTCATGCCTATAATCCTAGCACTTTGGGAGGCCCAGGCATGTAGATCACATGAGGTCAGGAGTTCGAGACCAGCCTAGTCAACAAGGTAAAACCCCGTCTCTACTAAAAATATAAAAATTAGCTGGGTGTGATGGCAGGCGCCTATAGTCCCAGCACCTTGGGAGGCTGAGGCAGGAGAATCTCTTGAACCCAGGAGGGGGAGGTTGCAATGAACCAAAATCATGCCACTGCACTCCAGCCTAGGTGAGAGAACAAGACTCCATCTCAAAAAACAAAACCAAAAATACAAAAATTAGCTGGGCATGATAGCACACACCTGTAGTCCCAGGTACTCAGGAGGCTGAGGCAGGAGAATAGCTTGAACCTGGGAGGCAGAGGCTGCAGTGAGCTGAGATCGTGCCACTGCACTCCAACCTGGGCGACGGAGCGAGACTTAGTCTCAAGAAAATAGTGATGCTTTTCACTGAACTACAGGCTGGGTCCTGCAGACCCCAGGACTGCTGGTAAGTGGTGGAGCAAGTAGTCTAGATTGGCCTGGCCCAGTACCTGTCCTTGCCCAGACAGTGCAAGGTTGTCCCAAGTTTGTTTACTAAATCCAGACAGTGATCCCTGGACTCCTAGAGTTCAGAGTCCATAAGGAATGGGACATGAAAAGAGAACCCATAGAGAAGAGGCCAAGTGGGATGCAGAGGAACTCTAGACTCTTCCACCTGGATTCCACTTACCCTTCTGGCAATAGCAACCTTCTTATCCACTGCTGCACCCCAGGAAGCACCGTTCACATCGTATTTCTTGTGAATGGTGTCTTCTGACATGCATGCTCATGGGGGTACAATTTACATGACTTTCCCATGTAAATGGGATCTCCTGGAGTTGTACAGTACCCCCACAGGGAACACTCCTTCCCTACTCTCAGTCCTATTGGCAGTGTTCAGATAAGGCTGACCTCACCCCGACTTCAGGTTTAGGCTCATGCTCCAGATATAGCCAATAGGAGTGCCTGATTGGCCAGGCTCAGTGGCTCATGCAGGTAATCCCAGCACTCTGGGAGGCTGAGGTGGGCAGATCACTTGCGGTCAGGAGTTCAAGACCAGCCTGGCCAAAATGGTGAATCCCCGTCTCTACCAAAATACAAAAATTAGCCAGGCATGGAGATGTGTACCTGTAATCCCAGCTACTCAGGAGGCTGAGGCAGGAAAATTGCTTGAACCCAGGAGGCAGAGGTTGCAGTGAGCCAAGATTGAGCCACTACACTCCAGCCTGGGTGACAAAGTAAGACTCTGTCTCAAAAAAAAAAAAAAAACAACAACAACAACAACAAAAAACCAGTGCCTGACCCCCACGGCTCAGTGATTGATTCTGAAATGGGCAAATAACCTCCACACAGTGGGCCAGTTCAAACCAGTGAACATCAGACCGTGGCTTTTTGCTAGAGCTTGTTGTTCTATTTCCTCTAGAGTTATCAAGCTGCTAAGATCCAAGCCTTGAGTGGCTGGTAAACATCTTTACCTCCATTGGAGAGTCTAAGCATGAAACCCACATAGGGGAAAACAGAGCCTGTGAGAAAGACTAAGGCAGGGCATGGTGGCTCATGTGTATAATCCGAGCACTTTGGGTGGCCTAGGCAGGAGGATCACTTGAGGTCAGGAGTTCGAGACCAGCCTGACCAGCATGATGAAACCCCATCTCTACTAAAAATACCAAAGAAAATAGCCAGGCATCGTGGCAGGCACCTGTAATCCCAGCTACTTGGAGGCTGAAGCAAGAGAATTGCTTGAATCTAGGAGGTGGAGGTTGCAGTGAGCTGAGATCACACAACTGCACTCCAGCCTGGGCAACAGAGGGAGACTCTGTCTCAAAAGAAAAAAAAGAAAGAAAAAGAAGGAGAAAGACCAAGTCCTAAAGACGTTTGAATACCCGTGAAGCCACTGCTACCTGTGAAGTTTTTGATGATGTGAGCAAATAAATTCCTTTTTATGACATATACTGTTTTGAAATAGATCCGTCACTTGCAACCAAAGCTCCTAGATGGAGGCGTTTTCTTTGCCTCTGAAGAGGCTTCCTCTTTCCTCTTCCAAACCCAAGTGAGAGCCTAGCCCTCCAGCCCTGGACTCTCCAGGAGATGTTGCCAAGTGCCCATCCGATGGGCCAGTGACGCTGTGTCACCCTCCTACCTAATGAGCAGTCCAACAAGCAGGCCACCCAGGAGTGGGCCCAGCCAGTAGATCCAGTGGAAGTCCCAGTGGCCGGCCACCACCGCAGGTCCAAAAGCACGGGCGGGATTCATGCAGCCTCCAGACACAGTGCCCCTGCAAACACCCAGGCACCCCGGTCACCAGAATCCCAGCCAGGCCCCACCTCACCTCACACTCATGTCCCCAACCAGGCCTAGTCACACGCCACCCAGAAACTCTCTCTAAACTCCCACATCATGGGCTCCTGGGTGGATCCTAAAGAAGGCAGAGAGGCTGCTAGCACTAGGAAACATAAGGCGTGTCTCCCTGCCGGGCGTGCAGTCAGGGACTCCCCACAAACTCTTCTACAATGCCCAGCAAAAATGCCTGCGTGGCGATGGCAGGAAGAGAAGCTGATTGACGTCTGCCCCAAACTCTACAAAGTCAGTCAGTTTCAACTCTTTTTGAGTCAGGCTGACCTAGATTCAAAACCCGGCCCACACACTATAAAATAATGAAAAGTGTATAATTGGACTGTTTGTGGCCCAAAGAATAAATGCTTGAGAGGATGAATACCCCATTTACTTTGACGCGATCATTACGCGTCGCATACCTGTATCAAAACATTTCAGGTAACCTCGGCCAGGCACGGTGGCTCACACCTGTAATCCCAGCATTTTAGAAGGCGGAGGCAGGCAGATCACTTGAGGTCAGGAGTACGTGACCAGCCTGGCCAACGTGGTAAACCCCCGTTTCTACTAAAGATACAAAAATTAGCTGGGTGTGGTGCCACGTGCCTGTAATCCCAGCTACTGGGGAGGCTGAGGCAGGAGAATTGCTTGTACCCAGGGGTTGGAGGCTGCAGTGAGCCATGATCACCCCACTGCCTGGGTGACAGAGCGAGACTCTGTCTCAAAAAATAAAAATAAAATAACAAAGAGTATAAGTGGATTGTTTGTGACACAAAGAATAACTACTTGAGAAGATGAATACCCTATTACCCTGACGGTGATAATTATGCATTGTAAGCCTGTATCAAAATATCCCATGTAACCCAGAAACATATACACCTACTAGGGTCACCCATAAAAGTTTAAAAGCATATAAAGAAAGAAAACCCCAGCCCAGATAGTTCTAGTTATGGGAAGCTTCATTGAACCTCTCTGTGTTCAACTGAGGTGAAAGTGACTAGCCCATAGGTTGTTGTCAGGAGTGAATGAGAAAAAGCAAATGGAGCCCACACCTTGAATATAATTAACGTACAAAAAGCATTAACTAATCCAGCTGGCCCAGAGGAGGCCCTTGTTGCACCACAAGCTTAAGGCCCAGAATCTTCTACAGGGAGACTCTTCCCCCGGTCTCTCCCTCTCCTTCTGGGGCCCTATCTCTACCTCATTCCCTCAAGCTGGGGTCCTGTCGACCTCATCCCCACCCTGTGTCCAGCTTCGAAGTCAAAAGGCTTCTGAGTGAATCAAAGGCCACTAGGGGGCAGCAAAGCATGGCCGCCGCTTTACACACACGTTCTGCAGCCTGCCAGGGCTCTATCTCCCAAAGTCGAGGGAGAGCTGACCCAGGGGAAAGGTTAGACTTGGTCCTGTGTCCAAAACAAAGGAAACAGTCAGACATGAGGGAGAGACTCTCTGGCCCAAGCACTGTGGCTCATCCCTGTAATCCCAGCACTTTGAGAGGCCAACACGGGGTCCGGGGAGGGGGAGAAGCTTGAGGCCAGGAGTTCAAGACCAGCCTGGGCAACATAGTGTGACCCCCATCTCTACAAGAAGAATAAAAAGGAAAGGGCTGATTCATCTTCTTTTTGCAAATTTGTCACTTAGTTTGCCACTGCCCATTGGCCTTAAATAAGTCACTTCTGTCCTCTCTGAGCCTCAGTTTCCTCACCTATATAACAGGAGGCATCGCTGGGTACAGTGGCTCATGCCTGTAATCCCAGCACTTTGGGGGGCCGAGGCGGGCGGATCACGAGGTCAGGAGTTTGAGACCAGCCTGGCCTACATGGTGAAACCCCGTCTCTACTAAAAATACAAAAATTAGCTGAGCGTGGTGGCACGCACCTGTAATCCCAGCTACTCAGGAGGCTGAGGCAGGAGAAGTTTGAACCCAGGAGGCGGAGGTTGTAGTGAGCCAAGATCACACCATTGCACTCCAAGCCCGGGTGACAGAGTGAGACTTCGTCTCAAAAAAAAAAAAAAAAGAAAAGAAAAAAGAAATAAAACGGGAGCCGTCACCCCAACCTTGTCTAGTTAATCCCTTCCAAAGCCTCCTGAGAGACTCAAAAATAAATTAGACAACAGGTACAGATGCTCTTTGTAAGCCTGAGGGCCTGAGGCTAAAACCCAGCTACCTGCCAACCAAATGAACACCATACACAGAAATGTTATGTTTTCACTACCAAAATTGGAAACATCACATGCAGATTTAAATTTCTGAATTCCCTTGAATGAAATCGGAAGAAGCATAACCCCAGACCCATGTTCCCACACAGCAATCATTGAAAAGAGCTGAATTGGCTGGAGTGCCCCTGACACTGCAGTCCTCACCACTCCCTATTGTCTGCCTGATGCCAGCCCACCTCCCCATTTGCAGCACCTCCCTGGCCCCTAATAGCAACTGAATCTGTGGCCCTCAGGCCTGAACTCCTCTAGAGCTGAATAGCGCAGATCTGATCATGGTCACCCCACTGCCAAGGGACACTCACCCGGCCAGGATACCCACGGTGACGGCGAAGCCGATGGAGAACGGGGCCAGAGGGCCCTTTGTCTTCTCATTGATGGCACCCATACATACAGCCAGGGCCAGCAGCATCGTCAGGATGATCTCTGCCACCAACGCCCCTGCCACCTGCCCCTGCTCCTGTACCGTCACAAAGGCCGCCCCAGATGCATTCCAGAACCTCTCCTTGGGACTCACCACCTGCACAGAGAAGCTGCTCAGCCTCACATTGGGGCAGAGACAGCTGGAAACTGAGGGAAGAGGGCCTAAAAACGCACATCCTCCCACCTTAAGGGCCAGTGAAGGGTTATGTCCAATTTCAGTCAGATACACCTGGATCCATATCCCAGCTCTGCCAGATTTACTGTGTGACCTCTGTGAGCTACTGAACCTCTCTGGGCCTCACTTTGCTCAGCTGAAAAATGAGACTGGAGCTAGGTGTAGTGGCTCATGCCAGCAACCCCAGCACTTTGGGGTGGCCGAGGTGGGTGAATCACTTGAGCCCAGGAGTTCAAGACCAGCCTTGCCAACATGGTGAAACCCCATCTCCACTAAAAACACAACAATTAGCAGGGTGTGGTGGCAGGCACCTGTAATCCCAGCTGCTCAGGAGGCTGAGGCACGAGAATCACTTGAACTCTGGAAGCCAAGGTTGCAATGAGGTGAGATTGCATCACTGTACTCCAGCCTGAGCAACAGAGCGAGACTCTGTCAAAGAAAGAAAGAAAGAAAAGAAAAGAAAAGAAAA